AATTTGGAACAGTTTTAACGGGCTAAAAACAGTATAAAAAAGAAGACTGAAAAATTCCATATCAGAGTTTATCGATTCTAGAGATCAGAATTTCTTTAATTAGAAATAATTGTAGAAGTATGTCTCGAATTTCTTGCATTAAAATTTCTATGCATTGAAAAAGTGTATCGAAGCAAACGGGGCATACTTCGATTAAATAAACAGCTGTTGAAATACAGGGTGTCCCAGAATTCTGGTTCTTCCGGCAAATGAGGCGATTCCTGAGGTCATTCGAAGCAACTTTCTCCTTTACAAAAATTTTCTACGAGGCATCGTTCACGAGTTATCGACGAAAATACACTGACCAATGAAAAGCTAGCTCGGCTAGCGCGAGGCGGCCGAGCCAACGAGCGCGCCAAGCCCAGTTCCGCTGATTGGCTCGGTCGCGACGCGCCAGCCGAGCTCGCCTCCCATTGGTCACTGTATTTCGTTAATAACTCGTAAACGAAGCCTCGTAGAACATTTTTGTAAAGGAAAAAGTTACTTCAAATCACCTCAGGAACCATAATTTTGGGAAACCCTGTATATTCACTTAAAAATCCGTCATTTCACACGCACCAAGCTAACAATTCATGCGCCGATTGCCAATGGGGAAGGTTAACGAGCAGAATCTAAGGCGACAGCTGGTGAAATTGGCGAAGAAACGCGGCCAGAGTCGACGGGATTCAGGTAACGTTAACAGCCTTCGAGGTAACAATTAATTATACGGCAGCGAGGGGCTGGTAAATTAGTGTCGCTAAACCTCCGCTCGTTTTTGTCGCAGCGACAAGGTTCCTCGTTGCGCTAAAGGAGGAGAGAAAACGTGAATACCGCGGCGGCTTTTATTCGTCCGAAGGATTAACCCTTTTGCACTCGACTGTCGACTCCGAGGCGCCATTAAAAAATTGTTCCGTCACGCTCTAAAATAATCTTATTAATCAAATTCGTTTATATTTAAAGAACCGTTGAAAATGCAACTGTTTCACAAAATTCAATTGCATTCAAAATTCATTGCGTTCAGAATGAACTACAGGGTGTCCCAAAAATGTCTCGCAATCCGAAAGTGGCGAGTTCCTTGGGTCATTCGAAGCAACTTTTTCCTTTACAAAAATGTTCTCCGAGGCACCGTTAACGAGTTATTAACGAAAAACAGTGACCAATGGGCCGCCTCGCGTCAGCCGTACTCGATTCTTATTGGTCACTGTTTTTCGTTAATAACTCGTTAACGGTGCCTCGGAGAACATTTTTGTAAAGGAAGAAGTTGCTTCAAATGATCCGAGGAACCCGCCACTTTCGGATTGCGAGACATTTTTGGGACACTCTGTATATTACATAAAATGGAAATTTATTATTTATTCTATTTGAAATTTTCCTTGTTGATTTGCCTTCGAGTGCAAAGGGTTAAATCGCGGGAAGGGAACAGAGGAGGCCGGGCGGCGAGGGGAATCCGCGCGAAGCGACGCAAATACGCGTCATCGGGATATTTACAATCTGTACAGGGCTGGTCGCACGGTTTTGTACAACATAAATAGCGTTTTTACAGTTAATCCGAGAACGTCGCGTCGTCGTCGCAGCCTCTTCCTCTCTTCGCCAGCTGATGACACAGTCCCGGACTGCCGATAATGTCGCCCAGGAACACGCTCAACAAATAATTCTCCTTCATCGGATTCGGCGACGATCTGTACTCGCTGTAAACAAAAAAGAAACGAAGAATCGTTTTCACGTTAGCTTTTTTGCCGGTCGGCTGTTTGCACGCGTGTTTGCACTGGATAGCGTGGCTAATGATCGGGGCTAAGGGCCTAACGGCGATATAAATCAGCTGATACGCCGTACAATTGCGCTAACATTGCGCTCATCATCCTCGCATGAGCTTATATCGAGGATCGACGATGACTCGCCGTATCGATGATGATCGTTGTCTTCCTAATAGAGATTGAAAACCGTTCGACAGAGGTCGAACGAACAGAGTATCGACTCTGTTACCATCGTTTAGTTTAGAATATTTGTAAAAAGTTGCTGTTTGTATTGATTGATTTGTTAACATCGTGCGAGGGAATATGTGTAGTTCAGAATTCTGACGTTCGAGCTGCAAATTGAGATGCAATCTCTTCGAAAAGTGTGTAAGAGACTCTGTAATTATTGTTCATATTTTGTTTAAATACAACTCTTTTATGAAATATGTAATTTAATAGAGAATATTATAGTATAATAGACTATTATATATATATTATAATTGAGCAACTGGCTGTTGCAGTCTTTTCGAAAAGTGTGTAAGAGATTCTGTAATTATACTTCATATTTTGTTTAAATACAACACTTTTATGAAATATGTAATTTAATAGAGAATATTATAGTATAATAGTCTATTATATATATATTATTATTTTTATTATTTTTATTACTATACAATTATATTTTTTATTATTATACAATTAGTATTATTATTTTTATTATTATACAATTATTATTATTTTTTTGTTATTATACAATTATTATTATTATTATTGTTATTAATTATTCCGTTAATAGAAACACGATAATACTTCAAAATTATTTACACGTTCTAGCTACTTTGCATTTCATCAACTCTCTTTTGAAATAAAATCCGCATAAAATCCGCAGTCCAATTATCATTAAAAACCATAGTTCCAACAATAGATCATTGCTGAAAGGAACAACAACGGTTCCCTATTTTCCAGCGAAACAGAAGAATAAAAAATATGTTCGACGAAAGAGCATATGCATAATTCCGTTCAGTATTTAAACTCCTCCCAGCTGCTTCGAAATCATCTCCGAACGAACCTAAATTCACGAAGTTATTCACGGTCTAGCTACGGTGACCATGAATAGCTCTATATCCAGCCGTAAAATCGACTAGGATCAAGGATCTGCTAAAAGATTGAGCGTTCACGGAAATCGTGAAACTGTGGTGTATCCAACGTACACCAACGTTTTCCTAAACGCTCGAAGAGAATGAAGGAGCCCGAGAAAATTCCACGGATTCCCCGATAATTCTTGGATAACGATTCCGCTGATAAATCGTTAAAAGGGGGCGAAGGTGGCTGTCCTTCTAATGGGCTGCCTAGCACTTTCTTCCAATAGACGAGCTAATAGAAATCCGTGCTACCCGTGTCTAGAACCCCCTTCCTCCCCCCTCGCCAGGGTTCTCTCCGTAGGCCAGCGGCGAGCGAACGAGCTTCCACTAAATTCAGTTGCGAGTAACGCCGGGAGCAGATAGCCTTTAATGGCGGCCTCGACGACCGTCCTAATGCATCCTGATAACTCTGTTCTCCGTCGTTTGTCCCTCTCCGCGGCCCTCGTCCTCGCGCCTCCTCGCCGTTTTACGAGCGTCGCGAGCTATCTTGCGAGCAGCATTCGAACGGCTTATCAGCGATTCGACGACGCTCTGCTTCCCCCGCGCTGTTAGATGGGGAGGGGGGGTGGGACAGCACGCGTCATCGACGACCAGATTCCACGTCGGTTAAACGACGGCCGTCGCACCTGCCCCGTGCACCGGGAGATCGAGTGCAGGTTGAACGGGAAAGGATAACGAACGGGGAGACGATGAATTGGAGGCTGCTAGCGACAGAAAACTGCTCGTTCGAAGGTTAACGGACCGTGCGCCGGGAGTTCGAGGGTCGCCAGTATTTCGCTGGGTCAGGCTATAGTGCTGGAGGAACTGTGTTTTGAGACACTATGGTAGAAAGAAGCGTTTGTATGCTATTGAGCTGGCAGGAAAGCAATTTCGGTATTTCGATGCGAAATTGAATTTCTTCTATGCAAGAAATGCGTAGACAGTAATGTCTCTCTGATTGTCCACGAAAATTGGACGATTTGGGGAGAGGAGATACGATTTTTATTCGAGCCTTGCGGCTCGTTTTTATGGTTAACGATTGTCAAGAACTGTAACAATGAAACGCAAGGGTTGAATAATCGTACTTTTTCTTCTGAAATTCTCCATTTTTGTTTGCAAACTGACCGTCAATTACGGAGAATTTACCGTACAGTAATGTCTCTCTAATTGACGCTCTGATTGTCCGCGAAAATTGGACGATTTGGGGAGAGGAGATACGATTTTTATTCAAGACTTGCGGCTCGTTTTTATGGTTACCGATTGTCAACAACTATAAAAAAACGAGCTGCAAAGCTTAAATGATCGCGTCTCCTTTCTCTAAATTGTCCATTTTTGTTTTCAAGCTGAGCGTCAATCAGAGAGACATTACTGTATAAACATTTAAAATGCAAGTGCTCGCGTGCACTAAAAATGATATCAAGAACTTGCATTTTGATATTTTTCTTAACGAATAATTAAAACAATTAATTCCAATCCTAATATTTCGCGTTCCTAATATTATATCACAATATTCTTTATAACGATATTATTATATTATAATGATATTTCGAAATGTGTAACTTAATTTCTTCTATGCATGAAATGTGATGTACAGTAATGTCTCTCTAATTGACGCTCTGATTGTGCAGAAAAATGGACGTTTTGGGGAGAGGAGACACGATTTTTATTCGAGCCTTGCGATTCGTTTTTATGGTTATCGATTGTCAAGAACTATAAAAAAACAAGCTGCAGAGCTCGAATAATCGTATCTCCTCTTCCCAAGTTGTCTCCGTAATTGTCCTCATAATTGTCCCCAATTGTTTTGTGCACAATCCGAGCGTCAATTAGGGAGACATTACTGTAACTCGAGCGTCAGTAACTGGCGCTCAGATTGTCCACGAAAAATGGACAATTTAGGGAGAGGAGATACGATTATTCGAGCCTTGCAGTTAGTTTTTGTTTTTAGTTTTTATAGTTATCGTTTGTCAACAATTATAAAGAACAGCAAAGCTCGGATAATCGTATCTCCTTTTCCCAAATTGTCCATTTTTGTGCACAATCTTAGCGTCAGTTAGGGAGACATTACTATTATACGATGGCGCCTAATTAATTCGGGATTTATTAGCGCATGCATTAGTAAGCATCGATGCTAAATAAATTATTCGTGCGAGCGATATAGAGTGAATATTGCGCATTTTTTCAATAGCCAGATAACACGAAATATGAATGTTTATGATAATACTAAAATTGTTTTTCGGTAACGTTGCATCAGCTACAGTAATATCTCCCTAATTGACGCTCAGATTGTCCATTTTTCTGCGCAATCTGAGCGTCAGTTAGGGAGACATTACTGTAAGCATTTTATGCGCTGATAGACTTAGCTGTGCCAAGTCAAGCGCTAATTACTACCGTTAATTGACCTACGCTACATTCAATTATCTCTTCCAAGAAGTTATTCGTTTAAGGTTATGTCATCGAAACGATTCGATTCTCGAACATTGCGAGACGAACATGACGAAAGATGTTTGGCTAATATTAATTCAGTTGTTAATATTCGTTGACAAAGTGTGCAAAGTGTGTAAAAGAAATACAATAATAAGTCGGTGGTTAACCCTTAAATGCATATTGTTGCCAATTGTTATTGTTGCCAGTTCCACTTAATTCTATTCAAAAACCTGAGTATGCGCGTTTCCGAACACACGTTAAATAACAATAGACAATAGACCATGTGTGAAAGAAAAAACTTGACAGTACTTTTGGCGAGTAAGTTATATGTTTTTTGACATTTGAATGCGGTGGGTGATAACCTTCAATGCGTAACTTGGAGAGATATTTTATTTCTTTGAGTTTAAAAATTGCTTTGTGTCACGACAACAATCGCAATTGCTTTGCTGCATTTAATTTATAAATAATGTGAAAATTCCTATACTAATAGATAATATAAATACATGACCATTTGTTTACGTCTACAATAATTTTAGTAATAAACGCATATTGTTGCCAAAAGTCTACATACAACTTTTTCCAAAATAAATACTCAATATTATTGCCTAGATTTTTTTATTTATTTTCTACGTAACCTATGACTACATTCCTATGAAAAACGATTTTTTAAAATTCAAAACAAAATATCATGCATTTAAGGGTTAAATCGAGATGACTACGTTACCTGAACACAATGTTCCAATCGAGATCACGTTCCCTGCTACGTTCCCGCAGCGTACGTGTCGCGTATTTGGCACAAATTCTTTCGTAAACGCAAACGTTGCTGCCGAGCTCGGCAACCAATTTCTTCTCGACCTGGCCAACGTCTAGGATTTCCTCGTCATGGATCAAAGGCAGGTCTCGCTTCGTTCGACTTGCATAAGTCTCTGGAAATGAAAGGATCGATTATTGCCAACGTGTTGCTACAGAATTTCTGAGAACGTAAATTCATAATTTCTGCTGTCTCTACGAGATACATCTTGTTTGTAAATTAGAAACCTAAGTGGGTTAGGTTCGCTGGACACTTTTTGTCTATTTTCGAAAGGCAGATCCCATTATTATCATCGATCTGTAATATTATTTCTTTTGTCGTGTGCCATGTATTGTCAGCTTCCCTATTTTCTAATTTTAAAAAAAGCTTCCTAACTTTTCCAAAAACGTGTATTTTGCGACAGTTGTTTTCTAGATTTTCGTCGATAATAACTAGACTGTGGAAGTATTGTGAATATTAATGTATTATGAAAATTATATCTGCTCTAATTACAAGGTATCGGAGCTATGTACATATTTATTTCGTTCCTAAATTATTATTAATTTAAGTTCGATACAGTTGGAAATAATGCAACAATGTTTTGAAGTTCTTTGAATGTTTATACCTAGAATTTTCTGTTTAACCAACTTATTTTTTTATAAGTGCATAAAATCCACAGCCTACAGATAACTGTGTTTTATATTATACAGGGTGAGGCATTTTAAACAAGTCACCTAAATAACTCGCTTGTTTTTGAAGATAGGAGAAAATGCATTAAATCAAACTTACTTGGTATCGGGAGGTTCATATATATATAATCTGGTATTACCAATTTTTCTTTAGGTGGAGGCGTCAAGGAGATATGAAGGTCAGTTCTGTTTTTTTAAATGGAACAGTAAGTTTTTTTACTTACATTCTGATAGAGTGTTTCGAGGCGAATACAATGAACTATTATGAAGGTCATTCAAGGTCACCCAAAGTGACACAGAAAAGCAAAGCTAAAATACGGTAAAATGGCAAATAATCACACAAATTTGTTTATAAATCTAATCAAAAAATAATGTCATTTATTTACTTGTGTGCAATTTTTATCGTCATAATGTAAAAGCGAAGATCAAGTCCAATGCAACGACCACAACACATAGACAGACATATTTACGACATTTCTAATCCTTCGCTGAAATGTAAAAATCTCTGAATTTTTCTTCAAATTATTTTCTAAAACGGATGATTTAAAATTACCAATAACGTTTGAGGATACAGATATGCGTACAATGTGATTGAATGTTTGTTTATCTTTTGTGACCCGTGCCACGTAATACACACACGTGATACACAAGTATTCGAAAAGTACCCTGAGACAATTTATTTTCTCTTGCAGTTGACTTTCCGAGACCTTGAATGACCTTCATAATAGTTCATTGTATTCGCCTCGAAACGCTCTATCAGAATGTAAGTAAAAAAGCTTACTGTTCCATTTAAAAAAGCAGAATTGACCTTCATATCTCCTTGACGCCTCCACCTATAGAAAAATTGGCAATACCAGATTATATATATATATATATATAGGCTCCCCGATACCAAGTAAGTTTGGTCTAATGCATTTTCTCCTATCTTCAAAAACAAGCGAGTTATTCAAGTGACCTTTTTAAAATGCCCCACCCTGTATATTATGAAGTATGTTATATATTATATATTATAAAGAATGTTATATATTATATATTATATATATATATTATAAAGTATGTTATATATTATATAAAGTATGTTATATATATTATAAAGTACGTTATATATAATATAATATAAAGAAATGGAATACATAATAATAAACGTAAAAACATTTTCGCAGGTTCAAGCGTAAAATAGTAACTAAAAAATAGACAGTGATCTCTAGCTAAATAAATATTTATTTTATAAATAGCCTGAAGGGGTTGTTTCATTGAATTTACTAACCCGAATATTGCAATCAAATTATCAATATTACATATTTCATTTCACGAAACATATTTCCGTTCGTGATTTCAAATATATCTGCTCGAATTGTTATTTTCATCGTCTCGACAGGAAACGAAACACTTTCGACAGTCCCCAAACATCGAATCCGCATTTTGTCTCCGCTCTAAAATGATCTGTGGAATGACCCTCGGCGCACCGTCTATATACATATTATCGGAGTCATCCAATGACAGCAGTCAGTCAACGTTAATGCATTAGCAAGGTTTCAATCTCTAACTTTCGCGTTGCTTGATCTCTGTCATCAATCTGAGCGACGGTCACCGATCCGATCGCTCAAAACTGTTTATATAAGAATCAACGACCCCTTCGATTATCGTTTGTTAATGAAAATTGACATTCTCAATTCACCTCCATTTGCGTTGGTTCGCTCGAGGTTAAATTAAATATCAATCATTCCTTTCTTACTTAGTTTTTAAAGCGATTTACGTAAACGGGATTGCGTTATAAAACGAGAATCGTTCACTCAATTGATTTCTTTTCTAAATCCTTCAATTAGTTCCTTCATTTCTGAAATTAATTATTCTATTCTTGATATGCAAGAATTCAATGTAATTTTATATAATGTATATAATTAATTATTAGTTTCTTAAATCCTTAAAATAATTCCTTAATTTCTTAAATTTGTTATTAAATTCTTGATATATAAGAATTTTATGTTATATATACAATTATATATAATATTATTATTATTATATTATTATATTATATTATGTATAATATTATTTAATTATATAATATTATACAATTTTGATATTACAATTATATTTAATATTGTTATTACATTATAATATTAATATTATATTATTATATTATATTATGTATAATATTATATAATTATATACGATACATATAATTAATTGTTAATTTCTTAATCCCTCAAATTCCTTAATTTAATTCAATAATTAACAGTGATGCATTATTTAACATCTTTCACCATCCGAACGTATTAGTTTAAATAATGTATAATCCGCACTTTCGTGAAGGATACGCAGCTCGTTTTTTAAACAATATCATAGGAAACGAGTTTCGCTATATTCCGTACGGAACGTGTTTCATATTCTTAATTCGAGTAATTTTTTACATCGCATGCTTCAAGCCTATATTAAATTCCGAATATGCAAATAACGCGCATACTTTTCGTACTTGTTTCTGTAAAATTCCGCGCGTACGGTACACTCAGGATGCTCCGAATCGGAGTTAATTGCACCGAAGAAAGTTTAAGCTTTAATTCGTCGCTCCAGTCGTAATTTTTCACTGGAACGCGGCGCATAAAACTTTTCCTTCAGGATACGCGTATGGTTAATTTTCGGTCAATCGAAATATGTACGGTTAATCGATGCGTTGGAATTTCAATTTAATTAATTTACTAATAAAATTAATAATATGTACGGTTAATCGAAGCGTTTGAAATTTCAATTCAATTAATTTACCAATAAAATTAATTATATGTACGGTTAATCGATGCGTTGAAATTTCAATTTAATTAATTTATTAATAAAATTAATAATACGTACGGTTAATCGATGCGTTGGAATTTCAATTCAATTAATTTACTAATAAAATTAATTATATGTACGGTTAATCGATGCGTTTAAATTTCAACTTAATTAATTTACTAATAAAATTAATAATACGTACGGTTAATCGATGCGTTGGAATTTCAATTCAATTAATTTACTAATAAAATTAATTATATGTACGGTTAATCGATGCGTTTAAATTTCAACTTAATTAATTTACTAATAAAATTAATAATACGTACGGTTAATCGATGCGTTGGAATTTCAATTCAATTAATTTACTAATAAAATTAATAATACGTACGGTTAACCGATGCGTTGGAATTTCAATCGGCCGAATCGATGAATCAACTTAACGCAATCGATTCCGAATTCAGGAAACAGCGTGTTACGCCCGCGTTACACGATAATTCCGACGCTTCGCCGGAGAAGTCGCAACAAGTGGAACACTTTCGCTTTCACTGCACGCCGATTCGATTCGCACGCGGAACCGCGGTGAATTCGGGTTACCTATGCGCCTCAGTTCCGATTCCTTTTCCTATCTGTAATCAGCGCGGCGCTACCGCGACTTTCAAAGCACGTTGAAACTCTGTCCGATTCTTTCTTCTATTTTGTTGTCGATTGTACCAGTACGCGACTTTCATTTGGAACAAATTTATCGGTCAATGTTCGAACCGTGTTATTTTTAATATAAGAACAATTTGTGAAACTCTGTCCGATTCTTTCTTCTATTTTGTTATCGATTGTACCAGTACGCGACTTTCATTTGGAACAAATTTATCGGTCAATGTTCGAACCGTGTTATTTTTAATATAAAAACAATTTGTGAAACTCTGTTCTATTCTTTCTTCTATTTTGTTATCGATTGTACCAGTACGCGGCTTTCATTTGGAACAAATTTATCGATCAATGTTCGAACCGTGTTATTTGTAATATAAGAACAATTTGTGATGTCTCGTGGAATCCAACGCATTGGCAATAAATTGCACGTTGCACTTATTAATGTAATGTTCGATAAAAGTCCTTAAAATACAGAAATTCTTTCAATTTTTATTGCATTGAAATGATTCGTTTTTCCGTAAACTCCTTTGATTTAGAACAATCTTTGCTAATTTTTGACTGGGTTTGAAAAATCACTTTTGTCGTGATTAAGTCGAACGTATTTAACTTTGCACGCGAAAGAGATGAAATAGCAATCTGCGTACAATTTTTTTATTAAAGTAATTAATTTGATTTTTGCAATAATAGTATCGAATGTAGCAATAAATAAATTATTCTGAATGTTCCTTCTCGAAGCAACCAGTTGATAAATTAGCGAATCTATTCCTGTTTTCTTTTAATTGAATTACTGAAATATTAATTGAATTTTTTTTAATTAAAAAAGAATTTTAGTAATATAACGACATTTCTAAAATATATTTGAAAGTTACCATTGTTAATATTTAAATATGGAATATCATTATCCACAAAAAAATTGTCCACTAGATGTAAAATATTATTGTATTCAGTACCAATTATCATTGTCAATATTTCAGTGTAAAATATCATTGTATTAAGTACCAATTTATCATTGTTAATATTTCAGTGTAAAATATCATTGTGTTAAGTACCAATTTATCATTGTTAATATTTCAGTGCAAAATACCATCGTATCAAATACCAATTTATCATTGTTAATATATTATTGTAGAATATCATTGTATCAAGTACGAAAATTAAATATAAAAACTTGTATCGATACAGATCAACGATGGATTATTATAAACAATTGATGGGAGTCTTACCAGGATTGAGCGAGTACGCTAATTTCTTTACGAAATTGGAGAGCCTCACAGAAGCGATGATCAATGGGAAGCCGACCAGCTGTACCGGAAGTACGAAGACCGGTTCCTCCGGAGTCGGGGACGCGCAAACTAAAGAAAGTGCCAGGAAGTAACATCCCACGAAGACAAACGGGCGGTTCAGTCGCATCGTGGAACGTAATCTATGGAATCAATCACACATCTTCCGAATAACTGTTGTTAATTAACGTGATCATAATACTTGTTACTTTCTCCATGTGAAATATATTTCACATCGTTTCTAATAATTCATCATTTCATAGTATTCATCATATTCGTCATTTATATTATAGTATTTGTTATTATTATAGTATTTAGTATTTATTTATATAGTTCGTATTATAGTGTTTATTGTTATTATAGTATTTAGTATTTATCAATATAGTTATAGTAAATAGTATAGTATTTATTATTATTATAGTATTTAGTATTTATTAATATAGCTATAGTATATAGCATAGTATTTATTATTATTATAGTATTTAGTATTTATTAATATAGTTTTAGTATATAGTATAGTATTTAGTATTTATTAATATAGTTATAGTATATATTATAGTATTTTTTATTATTATAGTATCTAGTACTTATTAATATAGTTATAGTATATAGCATAGTATTTATTAATATAGTTTTAGTATATAGTATAGTATTTAGTATTTATTAATATAGTTATAATATATAGAATAGTATTTATTATTATTATAGTATTTAGCATTTATTAATATAGTTATAGTATATAGCATAGTATTTATTAATATAGTTTTAGTATATAGTATAGTATTTAGTATTTATTAATATACTTTACATTATATCTCATTATATAAAATGATTATAAATTGATAATTTTCAAATTTTACCTCACACATCAGAATAAGTTCACCTTTGTAAAAATGATGAACAAGTTTCTAAATTCACCGGTTTCAAGTTGCATCAATTATTTTGAACTCTTATTAAAATGTCCCATTATAAAAGTTTATATACCTTATCATTGACAGCTGATCCGGACACTATTCACTCACCCAATGTGATCGCAATGCCACCAACGAACTCTACACCCTGTCGGAATGCTGCTCGATCACGCGTCTCGAGACGCTGGAGAGAACACTCTGGTCACCGATGTACCCTTGCTCATCGAAGTCCTCCGAGCGCCAGTCCCTTTTTCGCGAGCTCGTCGCACTCGTTTCCGGTTCACTCGTCCCACCGAAAAGTCCCACCGATATCCGTCGCGGCTCTTAAACCCGATTTACTCTACACCGATCGTGTGTCACCGGCGCGCTGACGGCGATAAACCTGGCGGCTGGTTGCTTCTTTGGTAAAAACCCGTTGCCGAGTGTTTCGCCGGGCAAACGTAGTCTGAGCTCGATCGCGCCGACCAAGAGAAAGTGATCGCCCCTTCCCGACGTAGCATTCAAACGAACGGCGAGTGCCAGGTTGCGACATTTAGTGCGGCAACGAGGTCCCTACGTGATGTTCTTCCTGAAGTCCCCCTTGGCTGACCCAGTCGCGTCCTCATCAAGGTCGCCGTGATTTCCCACCGAGACGCCGCGGTTTGTAAAGCAGCGCTTCGTGATCGAAACTTTTTCTATACTAATGCATATTTGCGAGAAGGAAGAGAGAAAGAGAGAGAGAGAGAGAGAGAGAGAGAGAAATAAGAAATTGTTTCGATATATTGTTCTTGTTAATTTATTGCACAAAAAACAGCAGTTTTATATTAGTTTGTAAAAGTAAGAATAATATT